TTGTAGGGATATTGGTTTGGTTCACTTACAACGAAACAGCCAATAATTGCAAAGCAAACGCTAATAAACAACTGCCTCACCCTGTTTAAACACGACGTCGTTGGCAGTGCGATCCTAAAGTTTAACCAGGTGAGGGTTTCAAAGTTTTTCACATGGTTCCCGGTTTGCAGGTAAACCAGCAAGGCTCTAAGGATGCCAAAACCAAGTTTTTGACAAGACCATGACCCTACCCAACGATCTACGTTTCGTGGTTTTTAAATTATATGGGCTAAGAGAACAATATTGTTGCAGGTAAAGCTTGAGGGTTCAGCCGGAAATCTTCCAATGGTCCTGCAGGGTTCCAAGCAAGGTGCCAAGAAAGTTCTAGCAAGTACTTGGGCTTTCCGGAGCATGCATTTTGCCGGCGTTGCCCCTCGGCGAGAATGGCTGTTGGGCTGTTGGAAAGTAGAGCATTCCATTGAGGCGCAAAGAATCTTCATCTTGCAGCGTGCTGCCGCCAAGCGCTTGTAACACCACAGTACTCAAGCAAAAGAAGAATCATTGGAATTCGATTAGCTAACTTTATGTGTCGATATAGCAGAGTTAGCCTAAGTGGAATACATAATTTAGACGAGTTACAGTAAGTTGCATAAATGGGTTTAAGGGGTTTACATAACTTGTCTAAGTCCCACTTAGCAAGTTTACATAACTCCCCTAAGTACAACTTAGTAATTTTGGCTAAGTCTGCTAAGCCTGATTTAGGGATCCCAGAACATAGGAAAATTACCATGGGATTATTTTTTTGGGGGGTTGGTGCAGGTTGCTTTTTTTGAATTCACGGAGCGATTTTGTGTTTGGACCGGGCTGAATTTTTATTTTTATCATTTGGGTGCATGATGTTTTTCAATTTTTGTGTAGGATGTTTTGTTTTTTCACGTGCCAATTTGGGTTTGAGATGCAGCCCAGCGGGTGAAAGAACAGAGGCCGTGGAATACAAATATGTTTTTTTGAAATCTGTTACGCTTGTTTTTGGGTGTGTCCTGGTGCGAAAACAATGATTTCAATCATGTTTTAAAATTGAACCACCTTGGCTCAGATATCTTTCAACCCATGCATCTTGCAAAGTACAACATGATGAGCAGAGCGGAACAAAAAACAGAGAACGAAACGAATATGGTTTGGTGGAACCTTTTTTGTTTACCTTAAAATTTGCAATGATCTTTCCTTTGAATCATCATTTTCCTGGATGTTGGTCCGCCCAGATCGTCGATGGTGGGCATGCGTTGGCCTGTGCAGGCGCCTTCTGACAAGGGGTGCTTTTGGAAAATTGATTTGGTCAAATATCTTAAGAGGTCTGACTTGGTCATATATACCTTCAGTGGCGATGGTAATCCATGTGCCAGAAAGGTCGCGCAATCAAATTGCTGTTGAGGGATGCAGGTCTTGAGCATCCATATTTAAAGGAGTTGAAAAGAATTGTCGCCTTGGGCAGGAAAGGCAAGCCATTGCCGGTGCCATACATCACCAAATTCCCGAATGACCCTACGGACTTGCCTCCCAAGTTGAAACAATGTTTCGTGGGTGCCACTATGGGTGGTGTGGAAGAGGGGCATGGACTGGCTGCTCGGAGCCAGGTGGATCTGAGGAGGTCTTCGAAGTCGCAGAGACCGGACGCCATTGTCCCATTTCATCCAAAAGGACCCGCCAGCGCCACGGCCAGCATGCCGGTTGGTGCCATGGGCATGCCAGGTGCACCTGGTGGCATGGACCCGTCCATGATGATGATGATGATGACGATGGGCGCACAGTACTTCATGTCCATGATGCAACAAGGAGTGACCCCGTTTCAGGCATCTCCAAAAATAAAAAAACTTTCAACAGGTAAGATTTCACGAGAGTAGTCTATACTTGACGCCACAGGGGAAGGGGACACACGCTCCTCGAACACCATGGGCTCCGTCCAAGTCTCCACCTGCAGATGAGTCGCAGGAAAGCCAGCCTGAGGCGACGCCTGCCGTCAATCCTCTCCAGTTGTTCGACACTGGCGCAGATGATGAGAAGAACTGCGCAGGTGCCCGCAAGACCCCATACAAAGGGTTGACTGCAATTGAGAAGGCACAAGTTGTTGAGACTGCCATCAGTGAGCGTGCCATGATGAACCCTGAGTCTCGAAAAAGAGTAATTTTACACATCTTAGTGATTTACTATTTTACAGTGATTTACTGTAAATTTGTGGGAACGCAAATGAAATTAGTAAATACCTTTACCTTCCACCTAAATATGTGATTTTAAGATAATTTTGTGTTTGGCCAAGTCTTGGTGTTATGTACTTTTGTTTTTTTGTTGTTGTTTTTGTATATTTTTCGTTTTTATTTTGAAAAAAATTGAAAGAACAAGATTTGTTTTATGCGTATCTAATTTCACACAAGTAAGGAAACTGCGATCGCAAGTAATTCATTTCGAATCGCAGGTAAGGGATTTGAAGAATGAAATCCAGGAAGACAGCATCTTGGACTTGCAGAAGAGTAGATACCTGTTTTCCCTTTTGAAAACTGCTTTAGATAATTTGATGGCAGCTGCTTGCTACAAGGCTGCATATCTAGAAATAGAGAAGACAAGTATATAATCTGAATCTGAAAGAAAAGAAATTACTCAAGAGAAAATTATCTATCTATCTATCTACCTATCTATCTATCTATCTATCTTCCTATCTGTCTGTCTATCTATCTATGGCTCTATCTATCTATGGCTCTATCTATCTATCTATCTACCTATCTATCTATCTATCTATCTTCCTATCTGTCTGTCTATCTATCTATGGCTCTATCTATCTATGGCTCTATCTATCTATCTATCTATCTTCCTATCTGTCTGTCTATCTATCTATGGCTCTATCTATCTGTCTATCTGTCTATCTATCCATCTATCTGTCTATCTATCTATCGGTCTATCTATCTATCTATCTATCTAATCTAACCTAACCTAACCTAATCTAATCTAATCTAATCTATCGATGAATCTATCTATCTATCTATCTGTCTGTCTGTCTGTCTGTCTGTCTATTTATCTATCTATCTATCTATCTTTCTATCTATCTATCTATCTATCTACATAAAACGTGAAGTGCAGCAGAGGGCACGCAACTCATATTTCTATATCTAATATAGGCTTAGAACCCTACTCCACCTGCTGGATGGTGTCAACTTACAGGTCAATGATGGGATGGATCGACTGTCGGCATTGGCAATGGACACTTTCCCGTTGATTTCCCTAGTCTTAGACTTCCATAGATGGGGATTTCCCGTTGGTAAAACTGCTGAAGGACATCCCATGATTTGTCATGATTTCTGGCTGCTGGCTGGTGCTGCTGGTGCTTCCAGGATGAAAGAGTCAATGTTTGCGTACGAGTGGATACCTCAGTTGCCAGATGGACCAACATAAAGCTGAGAAACGCTGTCAGTTTGGATTTTTCTTGGGTCTTCAATTCTGATAGTTTTGCTATCTTTGTTGAATGGAGGATCACTGATGGCCAATGATTCCTTTTCAGAAAACATATCAATGGTATGTATGTGCAGTGGTATCACTTACAGCTGTCCATGGTGGCATCCTTGTGACAATGGCGGTTTGTTCCGCATCCAACCACTGGTGAACCTACACAACCGAAGGAATCCTAAGGGAATCGTTTCTACATGTTTCTACCATGTCTCATGTCAGGTTCGAAAAAAACCTGCAAGAACCCATCAAAACTTTTCAAAAATCAACATGGAAACCAAACTTCCCAAGTTCCAAGCAGTTTCTGCAGGTCAGACCTATGTCCGAAACAGAGTTGAGTGAAGGATTTAGTGAGGCCTGATGGGTTGTTTGCCATGCCGCTCCATGGTGGCTGACTCAATGGTCCTTGAGTCCTTGAGTCATCCATGTGGTATATCAGTTCAGACTCAGTTTTCCTGCCTCATAGATCTGAATTCTGCTGAATTCTGACGAAAAAACCAGAGTTTAGCAGAATGTCTCACATGAATCAGCTGGGTTTTTGGAGATCAGGTTGTGGATTGTGATTTGGACAATCCTGGGACCATTGAGATCACCAGGCCGCAGCCTCAGTTAGATGCCCTGAGGGTTTCTGCTGCACTGGTTCATCAGATGTTTCACATACTGTAGCTGTATTTCAGACGTTTGCCATCACACCCACTTTCAGGTCTCTCCGGGCAAATGATGCCAGGAAGAAAGAAACCTTCAGCTTCGATACAGTGCTGCCCAGTAGCGTTGGGCGCCCGTTACATGCGGAGGGTGCCCGTCAGGATTCCAACTTGCTTGGAATTGCAGTCCCAATGAGCAATCCAGAGGCGGTGAGGTTTGTGAAATCTGTACCCTGTATTTACATGTATTTACTGTACCATTTTTTTACCTTCCTGGAGACTTTGCTTTCAGATCTGCTATTGATCCAAAACCGGCTAAGGCTGGACAAGCAGCGATGTACAATTTGATTGGCTGTGCACACAGCCGGCTTGGTTTGTGGATGCTTGTGCTATAACATCGCGGAAGTATCTCGCAACGACACTTTACTAAGACACGGACATGACATGCGACATGCAACTGGTCCTGCGAAATTGCCAGCGTACACTTGGACTTGTTGGACTTCTGGGCTTCACGAGAATTACTGTGTTAATGTCACATCCATTATATCTACAGAAATGTGAAATCTCCGTCTCAAGTTTGATAAGCATGCAGCAGCCCATAAACAGTTCCACCATGTTCCACCCAAGGCCGCCCGGTGTTTGATCGCTTGACAGATGGGCACCTTTTGGCTGCAAAATCTCCCCGTGAATCATTGGTTCGGAATGTTTTTTCAATGGTTTTACTGGGAAAAAATCATGGAAGAACTGTGAACAAACATCTAAAAACCCTGGTTTTTTCCAGCTCTGTTTGAGTAGCAAAGGGTAGACCTAGTGACCTAGTCGCGAAAGGATATGATTTACATAGACTGCCTGATGCCTTTGAAACTTTCACAGCGACCGCTGAAGGTACAACAGTTGTGTCATTGCCTTCGGTGCGACGGGCTGTGGAAAGAGTCACACCATCTTTGGAACCAACCAGGCCGGGCTGTGATGCGAGCACCCTCAGAGCCATGATCCGCCTTGGACCGAGGATCGGGGATTACTTCCCCGGATTTCTGAGACGATCTTCCATAATTGGAACATGGAGGCCACGATGATCCAAGATTTCCACAAAAGCTGTATTGCCTGAGGATTGCCAGAATGATCCATGAGATTGCTAGTTATTTCGCTTATTTTCAGCCGATGTAATTCGAGGAAAACGGTTTTGGGTGACAATTTTTGCAGCGAAAGCTGCTGGTAAAACAGACCCAGCATGGCCTCTGGCGAGGCCGGCCAGCAGATGCTTGTGAAGGTTTCCTATTTGGAGCTCTACAATGAGAAGGCCTGGAATGGCCTGGATGCTGCACTTCCACTTGCTATGGAAACCATCAAAAATCACGTCAGGGATCAGCATCTTCGAAAACGACGCTTGCAGGCGCGTGATTTGCTAAAGCCTGAGGATCCGGACAACGGAAAGGCGCAACAATTTTTTTCGGTGGACCATGGACTTGCTAAGAGTAGCGGTTTGGATTGAGACGAATATAGTACTGGTATTACAATATAATACAATATATATAATATTATACAATATAATTATATATTATATACTATATTATCAATGATTGATTATGTGAGATTCTGTGGTATTATCATCATCGTATCTTTAGTCGTTGGCGCATGCAAAGCCATGGACAATCCAACGTCTCTAGGTGTTTGACTTGCGAAGGATACAGGAAACCGTCCCCAGTTCGGAACTTGATGATTTCCCATTGAAACTTCCATTGAGTTCTGTGCATTTGCATGGATTTTGCATGGATTTCCAGCTATACGTATGAATATGTATTTGATTATTGGAGGGTGTATCAAAATGATACATCACTCCACTGGTTCAGGCTGCTTCCTTGGAAGTTCGTGAGCACCCAAAGGCCAGAGATCTGGCAGCAGACATGCGAATTCCACCCAATAAAATCAACAAATAATGGGGATCTGCCATTACATATATATATATATTATATCTTGTCACTTATGTTTTGATCAACAAACAGGAGGGCATTTCACCAAAGACAAAGAGATTTTGCCATGCTTTGCCATGCTTTGCCATGCTTTGGATTCCATGATTTGGTCAATGATTTCGTCAGAGGCTGGCATCTTTGTCGAGGGCCTCACACGTTCCGTGGCATCGAATGCTGCTGCTGGCTTGCAATCATGGCGTCTCGAGGTGTGACAGTACCTATTAGCCATATATTAGCCATATATGAACAATATGGTTGGTTAATGATGGTCAATGATGGTTGGTTGACTATATGATGGTGAATGATGGTGAATGATGGTTATATATATTATATATATATATTAATTATGGTTAATGATATTAACAACAGAATCTATCATGAATTATGGTTGGTTAATGATGGTTACTCTATGTTGATATGATGGATGGTTGGGGGAAGAAAAACCCTAAGGTTTATAAATGCCTCCATTTATATAGCCATTGATTGTTTTTGCCACTGAAAATAGGGGCTTTTCCAGGCTGCCACGTTCCCTCAGGAAGAAGTGCTTCGACTTGTGGACTTTGGACATAAAATCCGCGCAACTTGGTGGGATGGAGCGATTGGAGTGACAGTCAGACGAGTCAGACGTCGGATAGTCGGTAGTTGCCTGGCATCCAGATCCTGAAGTTTTGGCGAGCTTGGCTCAATTTGATAGTGAATTGATCTTCCAGATTCCCGGCAATTTCATGCCAGGTCACAGTCTGTTGCTGAGGTAGTTGGTTCCACCAACATGAATGCGCATTCCTCCAGATCCCACGCCATTGTGACGCTGCACTTGGAGGCCCGCCCGCAACAGCGACGCTTGGGGATGGTTGATTCGGTTGAAGGTCGAGGAGGACATGAATTTTTGGAAATGTTTGGAATGGACTTACCTGCATAGTTTCTAGCAATCGAGAAACACCATTAAATATAATTAACATATTCTAGACATAATCATACATATTATATCTAGTTGAATTATATTAAATATGAGTTGGTCCTTAAAAATACAGGGCAAGCAATGATAAATCGCCTACGCCACGTCCAGATTGTCCAGGTTCTTGACTCGAATGGAGCCAGTGGTCATAGGCAGATGGTGTGCCATTCCCAGCTACATGCCCAGAGCTCAGCAGATGAAAAATCGCACGGAATTTCACCCATTTCCATCATAGAATGTGTATATATATATAGTATGTAATCTATCACATAGAATGTGCCATAAGTTGTTGAACATGATAAATTTCAACTTGGCCTGGGTTTTGCTATATGGGTTTGTCTCAAAAATGGGGTTCCCCAGAATTTGACGATTAATCACCACTTTCCCTATTTTTAGGGTTATTTGGGGTTTCGAATTATAAGCTATACCCCATTTTCGGACACACCCATAGAAGCAAATCTGGCAGCAAACAGGTCTGTTGCTGTGATTGACAGAAACTCTTAGGCTGTAGACCTTGCAGGCTCTGAGCGGCTCTTCATGGTAGGCGGGATGAACCTTCACGATGAAAGTGGTGTACAGATACAGTGATTGCAACTGTTTTTCGGATGTAATCAATCAACAACTGGTCAACTAGAGTTTAGTGATGTTTGGTGATGTTTGGTGTATCGACGATGATGTGATACATACAGAATACATAATTATATAATACTATGATGATGATCAGTTGTTTAGACACGTAGGCTACAAAGATGTTCGGCATTTTGACCGTTTGTGACATCCAGCCCCAAGGCTTTGGGGGGAGACTGCCAGGCAACGATTCTCTCCGTCGCCGCGAGAGTATGCAGATCAACAAAAGCCTTCTGGCGTCTGGCTTCCTAGCAAAACAACAACGGAAAAAAACGCACCTTCCAGGGATGTATTAGTTTGTTTGAATCAATCAACAGGTCCCGGAGAGCATTCGAATACCGTTCTATTTTTTTGGTGTTGGTTCGTTTGATGTATAAATTGAATTATGATTTTACATGTATGTTTGATCGGTATTGGAATGTGTTTGATATGTATCCTGCGTTCCGGCGTTCTGGTGAGGCTCGGTCAGATGATCTCCAAGCTGTCCAAAGGTCACTGTAATGGAGCCCCAAATCCAGTGGTTTCTACAGGATGGGGCCCCCATGGGCCCCCGTTCGATAGCGTTCAGTTGCCGAACAGAAAAGTGGCTGAATGCTATGGTTTATGGCATTTTATGGTAGATATAACATGATACAACTATGGTTAGTGGATGTTAATGGGGTCTATAAACCAACTTATAGGGGGCCCCATCCTGTACCATGATCTACCACATTTTCAGACAGACCCAGATGGTTTGAAAAAACATGCTAAATTATCGTCACCTGAAAGCATCTTTTATAGATTAACTCATGTATTCTTGTGAATTGCCAAATCGAAGTTACAACCAATTGTCATGATGATTGAGAAGGTGAACCATCTATATAGATGCTTGATGATGTTTGTGAATTGTCACGGTCCGGTTGGTTCTGGATCAAGATAGTTTGGATGTGTTCAGACATATTCATTCAACATGCTGCAGTCCAGACATGTCTATGACTTGACCCATGGTTGTTGGAGGGCTTGCAGAGGGGTATCTGGCTGAAACCACTTGCAAAATCTTGCAATGAGTAGAACTTGCTTTACGAGACAGTTACGGTCTAGAGACTGTAGTCTACATCACACACAGACATGCACCCTACTAGCAGAATATGTACACGGTCTGAGTGGATATCTCAGCTATACACAAACAAACCTGTTTGTGCATACACTTGTACATATTATTTGTATAATGATGTATGTGTGTGCATGTGTGTCTATAAATTTACCAGTGTAGGAAGGAAGAAGTACTCATTTCAGCATAAACATTATGAAGGAAGACAGGTGTCAGCCTGTAGATTATGATCCCCGTCACACTTCAATCCCGAACCCAGCTGGGTTTCTCCAAAAAAATGTAGAGAATTGGTGGCAGGTGTGGAAGGTTCACATATACCATATCGCAACAGCCCCTTGGTTGCAGCAAGTTGAAGCCTTTCACTGACCATCTTTGACTCTTTGACCATCGGGAATCCTAGGATATCAGATCCGCTGCAGGTAAACTAACTTTTCTCTTGGCAGACTCCCTGATGGGGCTGGGGCCTGAAGCTGCTGGCCTGTGAGAATCCAACATGATCCAGGTGCCAAAAAGATCCAAAAAGCTTTATTCTGGCAAATTGTGGAAATCTGCGGAATATGTACATTCTTTTGGTGTCACTACGGGGAATGTCCATCTCAATCTCAATTTACTGGACAAATTCTGATGAACCTAATATATCGAAACTATAAGATACCTGCCAGTTGTTGACGTCTTTTTAAGCAGGTACAGATTTGATGCAACGCACGATAACTCTGCACATTGGGTGGTTGGGGCAATCAAAGCCCCACAAGAGTCGCAGGATGGCAGCTGCAAGTTGTTTGGGCACAACTGACACATAATGTGGCGAGTGTGGTGTGTGCCGTGGATCCAAGGAATTGCAAGACCGCGGTGATCGCTTGCATATCGCCCAAGCCTCATAGGTGTCAGCACTGTCGCAGAAGATCTGCGCCCCAGGGGATTAAAAAGACAAAAACGTCAATTTTGCTTGGAATTCTTACATATTCTTGCCAACATCAATGTAGTTTTGGGAGGTATCAGGGGTTTTTGGGACAGTGAACTGTTTTATTTTCGGTTTTCACCATGTTTTCAATGACTCTTCCCATGGTAAAATCGTTGATTTCAGGGTGGGACCTGAGGCCATCTTCGAGCTATCAACAACTCACAGACTCCACGCTGCGTTTTGCCAGCTCGGCCGGGACGACCCGGTGATTTTTTGTATGGAAAACTGCTGGAAAAAGGGAAGAACTATGGAAAACATATGAACAAGTATGGGAAAATAATGGAACATATGGAACACATATGGAACACCTATGGAACACCTATGGAAGAATGTGGAGAAAACATAATGAACCATGTTTTGGTATGTACTCGTACTAGCCAACATATTGATGGTTATCATGATGCAGGCTCAAGGCTTTGAAACATGGACAGAAGACACATAGGACACTGCATGTTGGTGCGGACCATTCCACCAACTGGGACTTATGGCGATGCGGGGAGGAACCTACCAACATCTACCAACTATTTTGGTGTTGGCTCACTACATATCATACCGATCTATATTGATCTACAGATCTACGACATTGTTTTGCCCTCCAAACTTCAGGAGTTACAGAACAGATCAGAACAGTAGTGGATGCATCTTCCTTGAGTCTCCGAGGTCAAAGAGATCAAAACGAAGCCGGTTCAGAACCAGGAGCCCGCGGGAGATTTGGTCCCTTCCTAAGTCAGGATCTGCCAAAATTTGTCACAGGGGGAATCAGCTTTCTGGACTAGATAGATGCTATGGATGCATGGTATGGTTTGGTCTGGTATGGGACAGTATATATATAATATACATATATATATACATACATACATATACACATTATATAGACAGTAGTTTCTTCCTCTTCTTTTCTTCTTCCTCTTCATGATGGTAGTTTTTTTTGCTTGCAGATGCCACGCAGGGATTGTCCAAACGCTGCCCGGTGTGTCACCGTTGTGTCGCACCTTGCACTTCGACCTACTTCGAGGTGCAAACCCTTCGAAATGAAGTTGCGATGATACGAAAAAGGCGAGCTGTGGTGGAGGGTCATCAGACCATGGACTCTATGTATTAAAACCTCAATCTGGGTCCAGGGGCGATGTTCACCAGAGATTACAGAAATATTGCAGTCAGATTTTGACCAGTTTAGAGTCTAGAGTTTAGACTTTAATATACTAAACATATCATTATATCCCCAGAATATTGATCCCTACTATATCCGTATTATTCTCGTGAACATCGCATAAATGGATGTTTGGTTGTACACCCCAATTTTTTGAGCCACTTTGCATCTTTCCAGGTTGCGACAGGGGATCTACGATCAGTCGCAAGCAAGGCTGGCCAGGGATTAGGATTAAACTTGGGAATTCCACCATCAGTAGGGATTGATCCGACAATGGAGAGAGATATAATCGGCAAGACACCACATGGACGTATCTGAGAATTTACGAGATAGCCATGAACATACCATTGGAATGAGGAACATGGTGCTAAACCATGGATAAGATCAAGTCATCTGGAAATTTGCGGCTTCCGAGGTTCAAGGTATAGATGCTAAACCTGGATAATTTGGAGGGCCGGGAGTGTAATTTGTTCAGTGGATTTGAGATTAGCTGAACCAATGTGCTTTCATGTGCTTTCCAGATCATCAGACATCATCAGACTCTTGATGGACGACCCTTCAAATCCAAAGTGTTCCAAATGTGTACATATGTGGTTTGACGGAAACAGGAACTGGGGTGGCTCGATCTTGAGACCCCAGGGAAATGGAAGCACAACTCCGCGGTGACGAATACCTGCAGGACCGGGTTCTGGGGTTACGCGGCTACGCATCGAAGCCTAGGGGGACTGTGACCCCGACACCGCACACCGACCATCTCCAAAGGATCAGTTCAGCTCGTCATACGAAGAGATGCAGGCGGCCAACATTGCCACATATTGCCACCATTGCAGAGTTTACCCTCCAAAATGACAGAGCAGTAGTTTACCGATGTTTACCGTAGTTCTCGTTTTCTTGGCGGGTCAATGTAGTGGCAAAAGAGAACAGCTTGGTACACCAGGCGCCAGAGGGTTTGTTTACCCATGTTTAAGCCAAATAATTACACCAAAAGGGTTGCCGGCAAACATCAGTGACCATAAAAGATCGACGGTTTCTTCATATCTACTTTAAAGATCTTTAAAGTCGGAAAATCAGAGACATGAAGAGCTCATTGTTTTCCTGGATATTAATGGATATTAATAGATTTTAATGGATATTCAAGCCCTGATGTCTTCAGCAACAGGCCCCAGGCACTTCCAACTAACCCCGTCGCTGAGCTCCAGGTGAAAGCTAAGACAGCTGAGGGTCTTCGTTCGGCACCTGAGTCGAAGGTGGTCGAGAGTCTCTTCATGTCATGAAGAAGTATGTGATAATATAGTGATGATAATAATATTATCATATATAATATATGATATTTTAACATTATATTATATATATAACAATTGCATGTATATATATATATATAATATAATAATTGCATATACTGTGTATATATATACATAGAATCTAATATTTGAATATTTGTGTAGATACAATTTAATATGTATATGTAGCATATTATTACATGTAATATATGCATATATATATATATATATATCATATCTATAATATAGTATGCGTGCAGTGCGGATATAAAGCAACTTGTAAGAAAGTATCGCAAGTATTCTGCTCAGACACAACAACATGCGCTCTGTTCGTGCAGCCCAAAGTGAACTTTGGGCAGGGGATGCTGGTGCAGCCCTACCCAGATAGATGATAGAAGCCGGTGGATTGCAGACGTGCGAATCCAATGGCACTCTTGCACACCGCTGGCCGGGTGTGGGGCCTGCGGTGTGGATGTATGTGTAGTTTCATCCTGTTTTTGTGGATCCAGCTGTTGTCTGTTTAGCCAGTCACAAGATTCACAACGGCAGAATGGGACACGTCAAAACGTTTGAGGCCAACCCGCTTTGCACGAGTGGATGACAGTAAGACAATGGGCTAATGTGCTTACTGGACGCCTTTTGCTCCGGTCGCAATGCCCCCTGGGTGATGGCTGTTGCGACAGGGCATCTCAAGCGATTCTGACAGACCAAGTCAGGTGACATGTGTACGAATGCATATCCTACCGAGCTATCAATCCTGTGATGTCACTGGACAAATTGACGAATTGTTTCAGCATTTAGTGTGCTTGCATTGTATGCTCCAAACATTTTGCTGTACCTCGTGTTGGCCTGTGTGCTCGAATTGCTCAACAAAGGGTGATTTCCTGCAGAGATTATTATCTTGCGCGCATAGCGGCCACATATGGTGAGCACTGCTTCCATACTGCTTCCGTTTTAAATAGATCGGTGCGTGCACGTTTTGAATTTATCATTATTGACCTTAGATCCTCTTAGCCTCATCGGAAGCAGCGTCGAGAGGATCAGTTTCATTGTAAGGCATCTTCCAACAAAGAAGTAAGAATGCAAAGCATTCAAAATCTTGAAGCTGCAATGTCAACGCCGGATTTTTAAAGCCGTGCTTCCTTTTGATAACAAACGATCCTTTTGGGGTACTCCTGCCAATTTCATCAGCCACAAGAGCTTATGGTTCATCATCATGTTCTCCATAGTCAATCAATTGGGAACATCCCCCTTCTTGGACATCTACCGTACATACCCTTTTTCGTGCTTGCTAAGGTCGGCGAACCTTGCGGCGTTTGGGCTTGTGCCAGTCAGTGGGACAAGTTGAAAAGGCTTAGACATTCATGGAAATTCTTGAAAATGTGGTAGTGACACATTCTCCAAAGAGCAATTTGAATGATGCACCAACATTTTTTTGTTCGGGAACCATTTTCAGAGAAGCCCATATTCTGCATGATACAATTTTTACTCGTATCTTGATATTTTATCATATTTTATCATATTTGATCAATATCAACATGTTGCAGGCTAAGAATTTCCAATCCTTTCTCTTCCTTTTAGGGTCCCCTCATGGCCCCTCTTTCGGCCCCTGATCCTGATCCTAATCTTTTTCAGGCGGGCAGCAACTTCATTGTGGTGCAGAAGATTTCCTTGGATCCCTTGCTGTCTGGCCGTCTCACATGGACTATGTCACCAGGAGTGGCTTGGCATGGCTTAGCCAGGTTTATTTTGAAAGGGCTGATAGTTTGTTTGACTTTAAGTTTGTTACCGTTTTTTGTTATCTATGATTATTTGATATTACTTGTTTATGATCTTGATTTGAGTTTTGTTGTAAGATGATGTAAGATGCTGTTAGTTATTTATGAATGTTTACGATCTTGATATATCACAAAATTATGATGCTGAATTGGATTCTTGCAGCGCGAAGCCACGTTGACCTAAGATCTTGGGCTTGAAGGCACCAACCATTCCAGTTAATCTCCCGCAAACTGACAGGACATAGATCTAGAAACCTTATTATTTGTAGATAACTTTCCTAGTGAAGCAACAGTTTTTCCACACCTATGCTAGTCTACTGGAGGGTAAGAGAGCGCAAGAGAGCGCCATGGCCACACGAACCGCTCGCGGCGCTTGCGGCGCTTGCGGCTGAGGAACAGCTGCGAATTGGCAGCGAGCCAGACTGTGAAATTGTGGTCGATGGTTTGGGCGTGGAAGCGGAGATGTGTCGCTTGCACTGTCCACAACTCAGATGCATTTTTGATCAGTTTTTACTGCGGGATATCTGGTTCAAGACCTGGGTAAAACAACAGCCAAACTGTTGAATAAGTTTTTTTGCAATGACATGTGATTGTTAGTCGAATTAAATCACTCTCTGAACTTGAAAGCGGTCGAACGCGATCGAAACCAATTATCATGTATAGATAGATTCGTGTTTTCTTGGCGGTCAGGAACAGACTGGTCCCAGGGACCGATATTTGATCCGCTTGACAAATTTTTCACCGAGCTGACTGTGATGTTCTTTCCAAGCTTGTCTCCTTGTAGGTCTCAATGCCAATGAGATAGAAGTACGAAGCTCAGAGAACTTTTTGGGCTGCCGGGGTTCAAATCATGACTTGTCGCATAGATGAACGCACAACCACTGTTTGCTCGTTGATCACAGCTCCATGTGAGGTGTTGCCTGGTTCTCAAACTTTTCCGCTGGAGGAGGAGATTTCTTGCTCCCACTCCTTTTGAGATTTTTGAGTCTGAAACTCATAGATACTTATTAGATCTTATTAGATCTTATTAGTCCATCTATGTCCATCTTAGTCCCTACATCAAGGGACTCTGTAACTCCCTGACTCCTGGTGCTATTCGTCACGGTGTTCATTCAGACTTTACAACCTTTAACATTTTAAGTGCTTGAACCTTGTGCAGGAAGGAAAAGAGTCGCTGCACAGGACGCTGTGAGCGTCTAGGAATGTTGCAAGGTGCACAGTCTCCTCAAAACACTGGACTTGTCAATCCCTGGAACAAGCTTCACAGTGACGCATCACAGTAGCCCGGGGTTGGAGCAGGGCTTCTGTCTCCAAAATGAGGGGCTGCCAAACCTGAGATGATGGCTCTTTCTTATCCAGACATCCCCATACACACTTTGGACCAAGCATGGTGATTTTACCTGTTTGGATTATTTTCACCAGCAGGTGATTAACAACCATACAGACCATACACGAGTAGAATCAGCATTTTGGTGAATACATCTGTTTAATGTTGATTGTAGATATTGTAGATGATAAATCACGCCAGCCAGATGACGAACACAGATTGTAATTCATCGTAAATCACGCCAGCCCACTGCATCCCACTGCCATGTGCAGGAGAGGCTCCTTGTACAAACGCTACAGTAGCACCTTGGTGATGGTCAACAGCGTGGTGTTGCAGGCGGATTGCCAGGTGATGGCAAGAGTTGGTGGCAACGTGATGAAAACATGTTATGTTATCGCAGTTTGTTGGCACAACAGGTATTGTCAATATGGTTGACACATGTTGACACAACATCATGGTACATCATGTACATTTTCAATACGGTTGACACATGTTAACATAAGATCATTTCACAATTTGATTGACACAACATGAATTGGCCACAATTTCGCTGTGCAGGAGCCGCAGATTCTGCGCTGTGGAGACTTTCTCAGAGCACTTGGCCTTAGCAAGCACCGACACCGTGGCAGAACTTGGATACAGTACACATCGTACACTTTGCTGTGAAATGCATCATAGACTACCTATAGATCTTGTGAATCACTGCAAAGACCACACACACACGTTCACGTACACAACACAGGCAGAGTAGGAATGGTCGATACATGTGGCAGTTTCATTCAGCTGTGATCGATGATCATGGATCGATGATCACCATAGCAAGTACCTCAAGACTCAACCGCTTTGTTTCAAGACCGGAATTCTCTCATTTTGAATGTTTTCACAGGCCATGGCCAGACAATATCTGGGTTTGTCTTATAGGATATCCCCCCCAACATGACAATGAATCAGTGGATTTAGGGATACTTTATTTTCAGGCAAAGCAATCTTATGGATAACAAGACCATAGAGAAACCACTTGGCTACGACACGACATTGGTAAAAACCGTCACCCTAGGGTCGCAAAGACGTGATCTGACAGACGTCTGACAGGTCGGCAGGAGCCACTTCTTTCGAGTCAATGCGCGAAAGCCTGGCCTGGAGAATCTCATTGATGTCATCAGTGGTGCAACTCTGGTGGAATGTGCCATTCCTTGGTGAAGATAGTGAAGAAGCTGCATCTTATGCAGATCTCAGAATTCGTGACTGTCGTGACTGTCGTGACTCTGGAGCTGTTGATGGACTATGATGGAATGTCATGGGGATTGTGAATCAGTTACCCGGAAATTAAACCTTGCGGAGAACCCCAGTATGTCATAGTGTGTCATCTCCATTTCTAGTTACAGTAGGTTTGAATCTCCGTATTCTTGTTCATAGTTGTCATGCATAGTTATTATATGTTATTATAGCATATTATAGCATCAATATAGCATCTATGTCCTGATTTTTCCATGTTGTTACTGTATTTTCCCACATTTTCTCACTGAACATGGAGGTTTCCAGGTGCCTTGTTGGATGGAAGAAATCGTGGCGACTCGCCAAGGATGGTGAGGCAACGCTGAACCGGTCGCAGGCAAGACAGGAACTACGGCTCAGCAACCACGGAAATGCCTATCATAAATTAAATGGGTATGGGTCAATACCTATAGATACATTCTGGATACATTTTTAGTGGGATGAACATCCATTTACCAGCTATTTTGATGTTCACCAGGGGTACAAGGTTTTGACACACTGCCAAATGAAGGTTTAAATTTAAATGGGAAAATCATGGGGAAAATATCGGGAACCTCCCCTGTAAATGGAGGGTTTTAATGGAAAACTCGATGAAATGGGACTAGAATAAACCAACATAGATGTGGAAAACCTGGCTGGTTTCTCGTTCTGAACATGATCTGCAGATGGTGGGTTTTCCACATCTATATTAGTTTGCAGGAAGGTGTATATATGCATTATATAGAATAAATGATACATTATATATATATTACATATTGTATATGTGTTACCGATCTTGAGGGGTACCGTACATGGATCATATATCATTAGTTTATGATTGAGCATTCCTCTACTTTGGATGAAGTACGATACCCCCAAGTGGTTGATACTTAGACTTGGGAATGGTTTATGATGGTTTCATGGCATTGTGGATCCCATTTGGGTTGGTCTGAAAATAGGGCACCAAGAAAATTTGATAGCTGATCATACATCATGGGGAATATCATCCAGATTTTTTAATGTCCAGTTTGGGAATTCTACAAATTTGCCCAGATCTATGGATGATATTCAAGCTCGTGTATAATTTCCTCAATGATTTGTCAGCAATGTTTGATGGTAAATTATCAGTATTTTCTTTGGATACTCCACGATTTCGACCTCCAGCCAGATGAAGCGCTGAAATTCTCCAGGGCTCTGACGCCAGGATGCCAAACAAGCCATGGAGCGTGCTTTTGGCATCAACGGATTCACCAAGGATGGGGCAAAGTTGGGCAATTTTTTGCATAAACCCTCCATCTATTGGGCACCAAATTTGACCCATGCTGTTGCTGCTGGTGAGTTTTCCATCGTTTGCCTTTGCGAGATGCGGATTTTGTCAAATCAGCAAGATTCCTTCAATGCTGTGCTGGGTTCACTTAGGCGGGATCAGTTGCTATCTCTGGCTCCCTCTTCAGATGGGTTTGTTCGAAAATTGGGGAGGCCCCCAAATCTGTTTAAGGAGCAAAATGAGGATGATACCCCCAAAAAATTGTCGGGGTTTTACCAACATTTTCAGACCAACCTATACTCAGCTTGTTCAGTTTGCTCAATTTTTTCAAAGTTTGGTGTTCTTAGCTAGTAATTACATGTAATTACAAGATGTTACAAGATACTATGTTGCTAAAAACTTATAACTTACCCTCTGACATCGCTATTGAACATGTCCCATTTATAGCTGATTGACCTATTGAAGATGGTGATTTCCCATAGTTATGTTAGTTTACCAGAGGGTATAAGACCACTATACGCCCACTTAATATCACCATGGTTTCCCCATCGCCAGGACGCAGAGCTCTTGCGGGAGCGCCTCGGAGCGCAACGGGGTGACGAGGTGCCGGGGCGGATGTTTCCAATAGACAAACGACAGTGATATCAACCTATATATATAATATTATATTATATTTTATATTATATATATTAATATTTATTATTATTATTATATATATATATATGAATTATATATGTGACATATGGTTATATATGATGTTATATGATATGTGTTGATCTGCTTTGTTTGACAATGTGACAATGTTGATTTTGTTGTATACATTATACAATATACACTCCATTTCACTAAGCTCCCATTGTTTTGAGAAGTCCTGTAGCGTCATAGCAAACAGTCCAAGTGACAGGTCCTCTAGCGTCATAGCAAGCAGTGCAAGTGACAGGTAATCAGGGACCTCAAAGATTTAAAGCTCGTCGTGGAAGAGGCCAGGGCTGATGGCAATGCGGTGATTTTCCTCCCCACAGATCCACATTTGTGTTCATGCTTAGAGTCCAGGTCCATTTCATACAATCTAATGCAAGCCAATGAGGTTGGGGCGATTGAGTATCAGCTTAGGTTTTTGTTTCGCATGTATTTTGTGTCGCGCTTCCCTGTACCTCTTCAATGCAATGAACTTCTCTTAACGGGGGTACATTGTGGATAATGCATAATGCCCATGGTGATAAGGGGTATCAAGGGGCCCTCACTTTAGAGAACTTGACAACTCTAGATTTGATTTGCTCTTTCGCCAAAGCACACTACTACCGACTTGATAGCTACAGCTTAGGAGTGCAGTGACCCTAATTGCTAGTTGCCACCAAACACATGGACATGATTCGACATTATATTATATGATGTTCACGAATTCTCCCACTCTTGCCCTGCAATTGCAAAGGGAGTCTACTTCTATTCGGAGACCCCTCGAATAATTCTGGACGTATTGCCGAGCATCATCGAATCATCATACTGTACGACGTGATTTTCATCCACTTGTCGTACCATGTATCCATGACCGATGGCCATACTCCAGGCGAACGAACTGACGGTAGAATTGCGAGGTAGCGATGATCTTTCATTTAAGGCCCTGGACACATGAGCGAAATCATGTCAGATAGTATGCAGAGGATGGCATGAAGTGCTTTGGAGTGGTGAGAAGGCTAGCTCAAGGATGGCAGTTGATGTACGTATGATTTGCTTGGTTCTTGGTAGCTCTGCATTTCCTTGAAGCACTCTAGCTATCTCTATCTATAAACACAATCCACAAGTGGTTGAGAGCCATGTCAGGGCCGTGTGCTCATGGATCCCCTGGACAACGAGGACAGATACGGACAGCACCACTCAGCGAGCCCTTGCAAAACAGTCTCGAGTACAGAGCGGTCAGGGTGTCACCTAGGGGGCTTTACAGCGGCTTTGCAGCCTCTGTATATCTCTGTATCCAAGCGAACCAGTACCACCATCTGTCAGGAACCTGCGGTGGTGGTGTCATTGATGGAGCGTTTTGAGCCCAGCTCTCTTTAGCGAATCCACGTAGGGATCCCTCAGGTTGGAATATGCAATGGACCAACCAACGCTAGTTCTAGCATCAGAACACCATAGAACACCTTAGATCATTTGAGTTTGTCTGAAAATATGATATAACATGATATAACAAAAACTCCATGCTTTATCATGAGTTTCTCTATTACAATGGCTATATACTAAATTACACTCCAGATTCAGACACACCCACCTTCTTTCTTATTCTTGATATATAGTTCTTACAAGCAGGCGGATTTAAGCAGGCTGTGAGACTCCAGTTAATTCTTGAAGGAACTACTGGTAAGAAGCAGTTAGAAGCAGCTGTAAAGCGGAGTAGGGAGTAGAACTTGAGACCAGAGCCCATTCCGTGACAGACCCCGCTTGACTGAGAAAGTAGAGGAAGTTTAGACGTAAGATGAGTTGAACTTATTTATTGTCAATATTCTGAAAAACACACACTAATGACTGTTTGCCGAAAAGTGTGTCCACTCGCCGGAGTGGAAGTGACCAGTGGCTGCTTAGGGGGTCAGAAAATCGCGATACGGTGAGGTCAAGATGCTGATGGAAGCTGCTACTTGACTGAGAGGACAGCAGTTGCTAGTATCTTCCAGTTGCTTCCGTGGTGATTCAGCTGATTCAGCACTGTGTGGATCAATGGAAAGATTCAAAGTTATTCCAAAGTTGGATCAGTCAAATCCTGCATCTATCGATCTATCGATCTAATAGACAGATAGACAGACAGACAGCCAGACAGACAGACAGAGCCATAGATAGATAGATAGATAGATGGATGGATAGATGGATAGATGGATAGATAGATGGATAGATGGATAGATAGATAGATAGATAGATAGATGGATAGATGGATAGATAGATAGATGGATAGATGGATAGATAGAGACATCAATGGATAGATAGATAGATATATGATATAGACATAGTAAGATAAGATAAGATAAGACAAAATAAAATAAGATAGATAGATAGATAGATAGATAGATCGATAGATGGATAGATGGATAGATGGACAGATGGATAGATGGATAGATGGATAGATGGATAGATGGATAGATGGATAGATAGATGGATAGATGGATAGATAGAAAGATGTACAGATGGAAAGAAAAGATGGAAAGATGGAAAGATGGAGAGATGGAGAGATGGAGAGATGGGGAGAGAGAGAGAGAGACTCAGAGCCTCAGCCAGCTGACCCTCCGTGGGCGGGTTCGGTTCGCTCTGGCATCCATGCACAGCTGACCTCTCCTATAGTCTCCTACCTTTGAAACTACCGCCACCTCCTTGTGCGGTACTACTGGTAAGCAAATGGATGAGAGGAATCGCATGAGAACACCATGGGGCAGGAGTCCTGCGATCGCCACTTGGACGCTTGCTGAGTTTCAGCAGCGACTAGAGGCGCAGCTGCTGGGGACGGCCAGCTAAATTTGGTGGAAGTGGATAGAACTGGTTCGTTGCTTTAAATCTCAAGTATTGACGTATATTTTTATCCATGTTTCATTCCATTTGGAAGATGGCTCAAATTCACAAACATTTTTGTTTACAAAACCATCAGAAAAACTCAGAAAAACCGGGGAATGAATTCGTCGACAGTCCCAGAGGTGATGCGAGACATCTATGATGAGGCGATGGATCCGGGAGGGCAGAACCGTAGCCAGATGCAGCCAGTCCCAACTTTTGAATCATGGCCCAGTCATGGCCCAGTCATGGCCCAGTCATGGCCCAGTCATGGCCTAGTCATGGCAGTCTCTTGATGTCTCTTGATGTCTCTTGGAAGGTGAGACTCAGAGATTTACCTTGGGGTCAACCTGGAGATTTAGATCCTTGGCATGTCTGGAGGCTTAGAACATCGCCGCAACGTGGCAAGAAATTCTGCGATTTGGTCCATGTTTCAAACTATAGGTCACATATGTATAACTGTATAACTATATGTAATGCATGATTGAATGCAGAAATCGAAGATGAAAACCACACAGTTCTTGGATGTTCTAGGGAATTTCTTCACCGCAGCATCATAGTTCGCAGATACGTTGGCACAGCATGCAAGGGCACAGCCAACCCAACCACATCTCAAAGCAGACCCCTACGCTTCAGAGGGGGACATTATCAGTGTTCATCATATTTCTTGATGTGGTTGTAATATTGTCTATGATGTCGTGCCGTAGATATCATCGTCATAGATGGTACAGCATTGGTACAACTATCATCTCAGCTCAATGGGTCAAGCCTTCAGCGAAGATGACCGGGACGACTCGGAGAGTGGTTTCCATCAGCCACTGCCAGAGGTGGTTCTCGTGAGTCGAAGGACCTTCCTGTCACATCTCCGAAACCGTTCCTTCGACTCCTGGGAGGAACTGGTACAAGCCTTACCCTATGCTGATCTTCCTCAAGGCACCAGTGAAACCATTATCAAATGTGATACTGTGGAGATTTGCACCTGGGTGGCCACCTTTTTGATCCAATCCTGCATCTGGGGCCTGGTGGTTTATTTTGCGGACCAGAGCATGGTTCTGGGAGCTCTCTTCTCGGCAAGCTATGGCCTGGTGCTATGGCTCTGTGTTGACCAATGGCTCCCACGAAACATGGCGGGGAAGCTGTGGCCCAACCTTCCAGTGGCCGTGGGCGCCACCGGGACACTGTTTCTACTGTGCATGCAGAAAGACAGCAAGGATATCTCTCCAGTTGGAGTGTTGTTGTGTTGTATTCTGCCTGCAACCACGATGACCTTATTTTGGATGAGAAGACTGCCTGAAGACCCTGACCGTGCAACGCTGGTGACCAACCTTTTCCTTGAGATTTGGGCAGCAAGCATCGCGCTTCGCCTAATGATCACTGGAGAAGAGAGCTTGTCAGCATCATCATATTCTGACTTTGCGAGTCTGACATCCATTGGAACTCTTTGGGTCATCATTTCCGTCCTTTTGTATCACTTCCCCAGCGCTTGGGGATCCGTGGAACTGGTGACCTGGACTTTGAACGTTGGGGTCCTTGGTGTTGGAGCTGGCACTTCAGGACACCGGCCAGGGAGTTCAAGTCCAGGTCTTGTGGGAAGTAAGTTCTATATATCAAGATATATCAAGTTACATATAGTATAAATCAATGTAATTCAACATCTTCATATGTTTATACTGGAACCATTAGTAATGAGTTCTATAACCAATTTAACATTAATTAACTATATAAATAATATATGTATTATTCTACATCAGTGTTCTATTCGATTTGATATGTTTGTTTTTGGCGTTGATGATTTCGAAGATGCTTTCGTCATATTCAATATGCTCCAGCTGTGACAAGGCTTGCTGGCCACCTTTGTGATTCAACACCCACGTCTGGAGCTGATGGGTTGCTGGTTGATGGTTTCAATACATTTTGGTTTTACCCCCTTGCCTGGAATGATTATCCAAACATGTTCAAACATATCCAAACTCTAACTAAATGATCCACATATCTCCAAATGGGTATGGATCAATACCTATTAATACCATTTTTAGTGGGATGAACATCCATTTACCACCTATTTTGGGGTTCACCAGGGGTACAAGGGTTTTGACACATCCCCAAATGACTATCTAAGCATCTTCAAAATTACAAAACTAATACCAACGATTTCATGTTTATTCAGTTTCTTAATTTTTCAGATATTTTTCAACATCTACCTTTCAACCAGCCCCAGGTTGGTTTCCTTTCTCCGTCATCAACGGGGTCACTGGCCTTCTGGGCTTCAAGTTGCAGCGTAGCTTCCCGGTGCTGCTCAGCGCCTTGGCCTTGGCCATCGTCTCCATCCGGGCCAGTCTCTTCATCTCCGACGTCACAGGGAGCACAGTGGCAGGCGGGAATCGACCGGGATTCGTTGAAGATGCTATAATAGAAACATATTGTATGGGAATATTATATGTATATTATTGCGGATTTGTACATATATATATATAATTGTGTATATATTATACATACACATATATATATATATAGTTATCTCATATATATATATATATATGTATGTATACTACAGGTATATTTGTGTACACATACACATGTGTTTGTATATACATAATACATATTATATGCCCCAACTTTATTTTGGCGACTTAAACGGAACAGATGATGAGAGCCTATGGAATCCCCTTGGAATTTCGTACATCCCTGTGTTTAACCAAATCCTGTATATTATGTGGGGATTTCTTGAAATGCAGTGACCCCAAAATAATTAATGCACAATTCTTCGTTTGTGATGGGATAGCCATGAGAAAACCATGGGAAGAAAAGAGGCACCAACGGTTTTGTGCGCAAAAATTGGGCCCGTAACATATCAACTGCTTTATTACTGTATGATTTTCCATTATTTTCCCGTATTCTCAAATTATGCTATGTTGGAGTATGTATAGTATACCATAGTATACCTATTTTTTGAGAGACTTTATTTGTTCCAACCACTGATGGAGTTTTGCATAAGGCTGCCCCCCAAGCTCATGTCATATTGTTTGCTCATGTTTTCACACATGATATGAAATACCCCGATGAGAAATTCCCAAATTTGTTGGTTGAATCTCATTGGTTAATGGTTCCGATAGTTGATGGTGTCAGATTGTGTGTGCCGGGCATCGTTAAAAAAAACCTGCCTTTGCGTTGTATGTTTGGTTTGAGTTTTTTTGGTCATGGTTGTGGCATGCATCATAGAAGTGAAAGCATGAGCTGGATTTCCACTCAGTATCTTTAAAATTGTTTGACCACTTTGCAACGAAGTGCATGACACTCCAATCACAGCTTCGCTTGTTTTTTTTGCTGCAGCATTTCAACATGTTGTCACGACACTCTCGGATTCCAAACACATCTGAGATATTTTCCTGAAAAAAACATGTACATAGTGTGAATTCCAAGTGACCAGCATAATTACGATATAAAACAGGAATTTCAGTAACCCGGTCTGCATAATATGATAATTCCATAATTATGATATAGGGATGTTTTGGTTTCATGGATTTCCCGGTCAGCCACAGGCATTTGTAGCTTTGGCTTGCTGGGCTTCGCCGTGATCGCAGCGGCCCAGGAACTTGACAGGCGCGATGAGGGCCATATGAGTTGGGAACGTTCTCAGAGATCGACCGTTTCTGATGATTTTGTTTACCATGACCAACGATGACCAACATCTATAATGGTCTATATAATGTATATATATACACATATGATATTAATAGATATATAGAGTACAACGAGCGATATTATATAATCATATATATATATATAATGATTACATGTTGGGTCTTGGATTTTGACTTGTTCGACCCATTCTCAGCAACAATGCTTGACCATATAAAATCGTCAATGATTCCAGTCCGTTTCTGATGTAGATTTATTATTAAATTTATATACCCAAGAACCAACCCCAAGGGGCTGAAACAAGGTACTGTATATCATATCCAAGGCCCATAAGGCTCATAAGTGACTCATAAGAGCGAGCCCTCAGGTCATCTCAGGGCTTCACCGCCAAAGGTCGACGAGTGGAGTAACACGTCGCAGCAAAATTGGTCGATGGTTGATCCAAAGGTCTTACTGTAACGAATGGCCGGAAACCCGGATGAAAATGATGAATGAATTTTGATTGACCACCATTGGACTATCATCATTTATCATTTATCTATCCATATTTTGTTGTCTTCTTTTGAATGTATAACAGGTCAGCACCCAGCTGAATGGCATTCTGGATGGGATTTGTGGTGATTGTTGGTGCCTCCTGATGTCGCCAATTCTGGATATGCAAAAGAAGCCCCTGTTGATGTCGGAGGAAATTCCTTCAAAGGGTTGTTGTATTGTTGGGATTTGTTGGGCAAGTGCAATCAGAATCCTTGAACATCCTTTAACATCTAAATCCATAACTGTGCAGACCTCTTGTGACAGCCATGCAGCGCAAATAGACGGGTGTCACTGAGGCAAGCTCGAGCGATGTAGAGCTGTGCAGGATCTCATGTGCAGTTGAAGATCCTGGACAGTTCCGTCGGGCTGGGCTGAAACATCAACTTCCACTTCCACCAGAGAATGTGGAAAGTGAGCGCAAGGTTGCAACAGATGATTTTGGTGAATATTATAGATTCTTGATGCCCAACTCTTGTTGGTACAAGGCCAACAAGTTCCCTGGCGAAACTGCCGGAGGAAAGAGATTGTAGGCTATAAAGTTGCTATGCAATGAGAGCTGCCATGAAACTTTTGAATCGAAAACATACGAAAGTGCGGAAAGTGGCAGGGCAGTTGACGGCAAAACTTGCAAAGGTCAATCTTTCTTTCTTTCTTTTTTTCTTTCTTTCTTTCTTTCTCTCTCTCTCTCTTGTTACGATTCTACCTCCACACACATATACTGTGTATATAAAAAATGATACAATATGATATGGTATGATATGATATACTATCATACAGTATGAGTTTAATTTAATGTGGTATAGTATAGTATTAGAATATAATACCATGCAATACAATACAATATGACACATAGAAAATGTGCATATATAGATAGCATATACATGTATATAAATGTGTATAATATGTAGAACACTGTTGTTGTTGTTGTTGTTGTTGTTGTTGTTGTTGTTGTTGTTGTTGTTGTTGTTGTTGTTGTTGTTGTTTCTGCCGGTTGCACTAAGGCGCGCGACCGCATTCCGGTGATTACTTCAAGGGGGAGCCCTCACAGTTCCTATCCAGGCTGCATCGGCTGGGCTGAAAGATTCATGGCTCAAAATGTTTGCAACAGACCTGGGGATCAAATAGTGGAGCAAATCTTCCAGATCCATTTGAATCATTTTGAATGGCTCTCCCCAAAGTTCTAAAAAGGCAGGAAAGGTTGGCATGTGAGCAAAGTTCTGAGGACCGTTGCGATCCGTTACGGTAGCTGGATGTGGCTAGTTGGTGATTCTATCCGGTGTTTATGTAGCAGTTAGCTCATTTGGAGCCATGGTGGTTTCCATCGTATTCCCTCATGCCCCCAAAAAAACGCCGGAGGAACCCCACTATCATATTCATTCATATTCCCTAATCATTCCCAACAAAAGATGCAGAACCAAGGAGCTAGAAACAGAGCTTCCCAAGCACACTTCCAGCGCAGGCAGCCCTGCTCGACATGGCGAGACGCCGCGGGTGTCCTTGTGTCACGAGTTGGGGGATGGTTGTGTGAACATGGCACCGCCATTGGGGTGTACATGAAGGTCAAATTTGATCATTTTTTTGGTGTCAGATACGGGAGATAAGGGATATATAAGGGATAAAATCTCCCATGGAACAATGAAGCATACCAGATTCTGACAAGAAACATCATTGGATCACTGGATACACTTCTGCTGGACATTCAGATTCTTCAGAAATGGCCAGGGCATCGGGAACTTGCTACAGTACCATGCAACATTGACCTGGCCTTCGTGTCTAGGGACACATTACTTAATCAGATATGGAGCAGCATCAGGGTTGCAGCGAACATGTCTATAATATTTTTTGGAAACCCAACAATAAACATCAATAAACCTACCACTTGGAGACAGTTTCTACCACCCATTGATGGTGATTGTGGGGATGGATGGGGATGGTTTATTAATGTTTATCATTGGGTTCACAACAAACATGTTGGCGCCGACCCCCACGTTCGCCGACATCTAAATAACATTAGGTTTAAGGTTTTAGCGTTTTAGGGTTTGATGGTTTTAATACAGTTGAAAAAACACAAGCCCTACGCAGGGATTTGAGCATGTCAAAGGATATGCGGGATCGGTGGTGGGCAAACGTATGCAAACGTAGGGATTGCAGCGAACATATTTAAATGTTGATCGAAGGAAGTTTAGAAGTCAAACTTCCGACAATATGGACAGATGAAAAGCAGAGCAGGGAAGGGGCAGAGAGAAGAGAAAGATTAGAAGGAGAAGAGTAGAAGAGAAAGAGTCAGAAGAAAGAAGATGCAGATGCGCGAAAAGGTAGGAAAGTCGCGAAACACTTTGTTTTTCCAATGATTTGGGGCTCCGGAGGGTCGAAAAGTAGGCTCGCTAAAGCGGCGGGTGCGGAGCCAGCTGGCCAGATGAGAGATGAAAAATTGCACGCCGTTGTGGCGCGAAGCACATTTCCAAGTCAAAATGCGCAAAACACCTCAGCTTCGGAGCACTTTTAGAAGTTGCGATGTTGAAAAAGTGCACGCCGCTGTGGCGCGAAGCACACTTCGAAGTCAAAATGCACAAAACACACTATTGTCGGACCACTTTTGGAAGTTGAGATGTCGAAAAAGTGCACGCCGTTGTGGCGGGAAGCACACTTCGAAGTCAAAATGCACAAAACACACCACGTTCGGACCACTTTTGGAAGTTGAGATGTCGAAAAAGTGCACGCCGTTGTGGTGCGAAGCACATTTCGAAGTCAAAAGTGCAAAAAACTGACGGGTACGGAGCACTTTTATGTGCTTTCGCGTGGCAAGCGCAAGGGATTGTGCACCTTGGCAAAAGTGAGCAAAACGTGCGGGTTTTGTACGTAGCATTTCCCACTACACTCCACTACGCTAAATTACAGTACACTACACTACATTACACTACGCTACACTACATGCCACTACACTCCACTACACAACACTACATTACACTACACTACATTACACTGAATGACACAGCACCACAGATAGACAGGTCGACAGATAGACAGACAGACAGACAGACAGACAGACAGACAGATAGACAGATGAAAGCGAGAGAGAGAGAGAGAGAGGGAGAGAGAGAGAGAGATAGATAGGGATAGATAGATAGACCGAAAGATAGATAGATAGACAGATAGACAGGTGGACAGCTAGACAGATAGACAGATGAAAGAGAGAGAGAGAGAGATAGATAGTTAGATAGATAGATAGATAGATAGTTAGATAGATAGATAGATAGAAAGAAAGATAGGTAGATAGATAGATAGATCGATAGATACATAGGTAGATAGATAGGTAGGTAGGTAGGTAGATAGTCAGAGAAAGAGAGAGAAATAGTGAGAGAGATCAATCACCTTTCGCTCCATCAGTGGCTTCGCTCTGTGATCCCTGATTCAAAACAACCAATCTCTCCTATAGGTTTCCTATTTTTGAAACTTCCGCCACCGCCTTGTGCGGTACTACTGGTATATGTTGATGCAGATGTCGAGATACCGAAAGACCCGTTGATCCTACGAAGGCAATACCATGTCCCGAGCCATCCCTCTCGACGTATGATGCTCAGACGTAGCCTGCCTCCAGCTGTGGGCCCTACAATTCGAAGCATGATTAGGGTGGAAACTTTGGAAGATCGGATGAAGTCCTCTTAAATTGGCAATGTTTGCTCCTTTTTACATATCCCACAATAATATTGGAAGAATTTGAGGGCCATATCTTCCATGGCTGAATTTTATGTGGTACATTGATACACGCAGAGTGTACATATTTTATTGGTGAACCATGGTGAAGCCGTGGCAGTTTTGGACCCCTTGGATTCACTGCAGATGTCCTGTGGCTCCTGTGGCAGCACCTGAACGTGACGCTGGAGCCGCTGGAGCCAGTGGCTCGTCCAATTTTGTGTGGTGTTCTTAACCTCCCAGCATCTTCCAGTGGACACGAGATTTGGATAGATTTGGATAGATCTAGCAATTATATGTAATGTCATTATACAGTGTAATACTATTTAGCAATTATAATATGTAATTATTTGATATTATTTGGAGATAATTTTGGATCACAATGGAAAACCCCGAGACGGCGGAACTCCGCAAAATGGGGATTTCAGCCAGGCGAGCCCACTTCACCGGGCAGCGTGGAATCTTGGCGGCACATCACCCTCCAAAGCAACATAAACCAAATATAAACCAAATATATGATATATATATATATATCTATATATTATACGTATTATATATATATATAAATATGAGACTTTGCCTAATTCTACTTGAGTCAATAGCTGTCAGAATTATATACACAGATACATATATAATTATATAATTATATATATAGATATTGTGTATATACATAATAATTACAATCCACCTAATTCTTTTATGGACTGTTCAAAATAACACAATATTCATCCAACAGAATTATATATAACATATATCATAATATATCCATATTTTTTAATGAATTACTCCATTGGAAGATTTGTCCATGGCCTCAGGCCACGATCCTCCAGCAGCTGCCACTCTTGCAGGCTGAGTTGGCGAAGGTTCGGTCTGAAACTGTTGGGAACACCCAAAAATCCCATGCAAAAAATCAATGTTCATCATGAAATTCACGATTTTGGGAGATTTTGGGGCATACCCTTTTATTTTTCAAACCGAAATGGTTATTCCAAAACTGTGACAGTTTGGAATATGTTTTCGCATTATCTGTAGGGTTTTCACCATGTGTTGCTGCTTCTCTTGGAAAACATGCCACGTCAAAAGGCATCTCCCAAGCCACACTGCAGCAATCCACATCACTCAAGGAAGGGGCTGAAAGATGTTTACCAAAGTCAATGCGCGGAGGCACATGAAACTCAGGGACAACAAGCACATCAACTGCATTCCGTCCGAAGGGAATTGGAGGACTGGAGTGTTGGTAGCTTGTTGACGTTTGAAACCGCGCTTGATCACTGGGCTGTATTTGTTTGGGCCATGGCCTGCCATTAGCTCAAAGCAAACACAAACATCCCCTGACCCTGACAGTTGGCCACAAGAAACGTTTTTTTTTTTGGTGTGTGTGTGTGTGCCCCATTTTATAGCTGTACCAATCTGTAGAGAAGCAGCTCAGTTGGTCCCAATCCGGCAGAGTCGTTTGGTGTTTCGTTGCTCAAAGAAGTATTGAGTGCTGAGTTTACGCTGCAGCTCAAGATGCAGAGTCCGTGCAAGCGAGCCAGAGTCTTTCTCGATCTTTTTTGCTGCTTTCAACTTTGGTGCTTATTCTTCAGCCATGAAAATTGCAGTGCTGGGGTGTGGGGCCATGGGTTCCATTTATGCCGCCTTTCTGTCAGAACATCATGAAGTCATAGCTATTGACGTCTGGCACGAGCATGTTCAGGCGATAAATTCCGTGGGATTGCGAGTAGAGGAATCGACTGGCAAGGTGCGGACTGTGAAGATGACGGCGACTGCGGCTGATTCAAACCTGGGTGACCTGGGTCAATTTGACTTGGCCATCATTGCCACAAAGACAAGCAACGTTGCAGAAGCAGCGCGAACAGCTGCAGCCATCTTGAAAGATGATGGACTGGTAGTGTCCATTCAGAATGGTTTGAACTGCACTGAAGTCCTGGAGCAGTTGGATCGCCGAGTTTTCCTTGGAGTTGCTAGTGGCTTTGGTGCTTGTATGAAAGCACCTGGACATGCGTTCTATGAACACCTGGGCCGTGTTTTGATTGGTGCCATGAAATCAGATACTGACTCTCAGTCCCTAGACCTGATTGTGCAGGCCTGCAAGGAAGCAGGTTTACTCGCTGAAGCAGTTGATGATATTCAGCAGGCTGGCTTTCGTCGAAACTGGGGTCCTTCATGAGCCTTTGAAAATCCTGGAAAGCAATCAGTTTCCTGTGTAGGTCCGGGTCCGGTTATGTGGGGTCAAAATGGCGATGTTGTTCTTTCCCAGAGGAGTTGATGATAGTTGATGCATATCAGATACATATGTAATCATATGTACCTGTTTGATACTGTTTATGGGAAATACATCAGGGATGGTGGTCGCGTTGCGACACCTGCACAGAGGTGATTTGGAGGAAGCTCATCAACAACTGCGCCAACGGTGCTTGTAGCATTTGTGGAATGACCGTTGGTGAGATGATGGCCAATGAACATTCCCGCAAGGTTGCCATGGCATGTGCCCGTGAAGTGTCTGAGATTGCTCAGGCCAAAGGTATTCTGGCGCCCGACTTTGATGTTGAGGAACATGTAACGAGTTTTAATGAGAAGGTGGCAGGGGCCAAGCCATCGATGTTGCAGGACCAGGGTTGGATATCACTTACTTCCAGAATCTAGAAGTCAAAGCCGCTAGAGGTTCTGCTTGGATTCGCCCATTCAAAACATACACCAACTTCGAAGCAGCATCCATCCTTGCCAAGTGGCAGATCTTTGGTTTTTTCAATTTTTAACTTTAGCTCCCCATAGAAATTCCCATCGAATATACCCAACCAATCCCAACCATCATTTACCATTTCCCCATCATTTCCCCATCATTTCTGGAGATCCCAAGGCGTCCCCAGGACCTCCTGGCGGGTCGTCCCTGTGAGATCAACGGCCTCAACGGCGCCATCGCGGCCCAGGCGGCCCAGCTGAATCTCCAGGCCCCGGTGAACGCCACGGTGGCGAACCTGGTGCGCGCCTTGCAACGGCCGAGAGTTTCCGGGCTGAAGGACCTGCCGTTGTCTTTTTGGGGGCACCAAAGATTCAGATGTTTTTTTGGGGGTGAAACAATGTTAAACATATGTGTTAAACATTTGTCGAACATATGTGAAACTGAAACCTCTTAGAATGTGTTTACCACATTTTACCACTGATTCAGAAGATTTTTGGGAGGAATTTACAATGCGGCATCTTTCGGAGGGGTGTTATATTGGTTTTCTTAGATGAAAAACAATGGAACAGCAACTTAATGTGAATATATGATTGCCAGGTGCTGCTGTGTTTTTGTCAATGATGTTTACGTTCGATACGCTTTCCAGTTTTATTTGACACGAGTTAAACTACGTTTTTATTGGGGGTTGAACCCCCCAAGCCGATGAGGAATGAGGTGGCTCCAGGTGTCTCGAGATGTCGATCCAAGTGGCTGGGAAGTCGCGACAGCAGGAACGTTGCAACATGCGTGGCACATGCTATGCGGAGTCATTCGAAGCCTCCCGCGCTCGCTCCCTGGACTTCCGTAGACTCGGCTTGAAAAGTCCAGGAAGAATGGACTGATCTGCCAAGATATTGCGTTGGATGGATGATCGATCTCCAGTTCTGGTCTTCCAACATTCCTATCATTCCTGTGAGTTTCTTTCAGCCGATTTGAAAAATGACTTCATCTTGCCTCTATTCACTCTATTCATGTCAGCCGGAGAGGAGCTACGACAGAGCATGAGCCTCCAGAAGATGTCCACGTCCGGGCTCCAGATCTCGATTCCACGGTGATGAGCGCATTTTTGTCCCCGTTGAGGTCACCTGCTCGAAGACCCAGTGATGCAGGCCGCGTTTTTGTGGGGAAGTTTTTCTTGTTTTCCAATCTGACTTTTGTGACTTTTGTGGCCCTTTGCATCTTTTGCTTGTTGGTTTTTGATGTTTTTTTTGACTGTGTCTCTTGGCTTCTTGGTTTTTTGTTTTTTCTGGCTTTGGCTTTTGTGGTTTCCTGGCAGCATGCAGCAACTATATTAGCGCAGACAGTGAGTAAAACATAACAAAAGGACGGCAATAATGTTATATAGAATGGGCTAGCGCCCTGTGCCGCCGACCCCTCCTTTGTGGGGGCGTTCTGATGCTAAACCAACATTCACTGTAGCAATTTCTGGCCGCAAGGGTATCGGTTCGAAGTGTTACATCCATTTGCAATGTTTTGTCGGTTTGCTGCCAAAGATCTTGAATATGGTTTGTCACTATTCAAGCATGAATCACCAACCAAGAAATTTACAATGCCTCAACGATCCTCATAAAGAATCCCCATAAATCGGGTTTGAAACCGGGAAATACCACAACTTTCACTTCGTTTTCATCGCTTTGGCTGGCGCCTCGGACGAAGACTTCAACAGCGTGGTTCATACCCGATGCAGGACGTTCGAATTGGAAGTTGGTTAAAGATAGAAAAGTTGGAAACCTGGACAATATGGGAAGAACACCAGTTATAATATCCTGGAAACACGATCACGTGTCTACCTTTTTGGTACTTGCTATACTTTATTCTACTTGTTTCCTATTAATGGGGTATTTACATATGTTACCTACTCGTTAATCTAGCAATATCTAACATAGCTGTGGAAAACATGCAATCTGCACTATGTAAATCATCTACCAACTGGCTATTTTCCATAGCTATGTTTGATTGCCAGAGGGTACTAAACAAGGTAGTGTTGGCACCGTATTTGAGATTGGGAAAAATAAAATGGACCCTGGTTGCTCGAAAAGGGTTGCCCTTTTGAAATCTGAAAGGCAATGGACAGCGCCAAGTTTTTGCAAGCAAGGTTACTCTCGACTTATCCGCATTTTGGTTGATCCCCAAACTTTTTGTTCGCAAAGACAGCCATATGTGTGTAGGTGACATGAACCAATTTTTGATAATTTTTGTTGGTGAAGTGAAGTTCTGAAGGGTCTGGCATGTTTCAGATTTGGGAAATGGAGTCCGGGTTTGGCTTCATGCACTACAGGACACATCTACATATATCTATACTTGGAGCTTCAGTTTTCTGTTTTTGTTTTTTCTTGGCTCATAGCAATTAAGCTGGATTCACGCAAAACGCGTATTGGTATCCTCACAGAAGTGTATTTACATGTTTTCTGATGTTTAGTTTCATTGCCAGGGGTGATACGTTCAGGGTTTTCGCTTCAAGACGCAACACGTGGAAAAATGCAAAGCTTAGTGCATTACGTTCACTTGAAGAACATACCACCCCAAAAGGCATAAACCTCTCAAATGAGCATGAGTATTTGTGCATTTTAGATGGCGCATGTACGTGCCATATGCAAAGATAAGAGTCGTATCCGTATAACAGTCATATACTGTATACTTATACAACCGTTTATTTTTGAAAGCCATGAATTCCTCTAGATGTTCATTCCAAAACTATAGTATCATGGTATATAGATTCCATAACCATATATAAAATATTTTTAAATGAATATAGAATTATAACCAAAATATCATGGTCAAAAACTTGTTTGAAAACCATAAGTTCCGAAAAAGGAAAACAGAACAGGACACCGCCCAAATGCAGGAAGCCCCGCCGGACGCAAAGCAACGTAGAGAAGACGGCGGAACAGAAAGAAGCACAGACAGGCAGGCAGAAATGAGCTGCAAGCAGCAGAGCAAGGGCAGTGCGACGGAGATGTCGGGGGAAGGCAAGAGTTTCCAATATGTTTGTCCCGCTTGCCAAAAGTCTGTGAGGAGCAGTATACGCACGGGCCAAGTAGATCACCGGCGTGCATGTGGTAACCGTTTCCAGGTGTGGGATGCGCAGGTCGTTGCAAAAGGGTATGTGTATATTTGCCCTGCTTGCAAAGGGAATGTGTGTAGTGACGTCAAGACAGGGCAAATAAACCATCGAACGGTCTGTGGGAACCAGTTTTCTGTCAAGGACGGCGTTGTGCAGGAAAAAGCGTATGTTTACATTTGCCCCGCTTGCAAAGGGAATGTGGCCAGTGACGTCAAGACAGGGAAAATCGACCATCGAACGGTCTGTGGGAACCAGTTTTCTGTAAAGGACGGCGTTGTGCAGGAAAAAGCGTGTGTTTACATTTGCCCCGCTTGCAAAGGGAATGTGGCCAGTGAGGTCAAGACAGGGCAAATAGACCATCGAACGGTCTGTGGGAACCAGTTTTCTGTGAGGGACGGCGTTGTGAAGGAGAAAGTGTATGTTTACATTTGCCCCGCTTGCAAAGGGAATGTGGCCAGTGACGTCAAGACAGGGAAAATAGACCATCGAACGGTCTGTGGGAACCAATTTTCAGTCAAGGACGGCGTTGTGCAGGAAAAAGCGTATGTGTACATTTGCCCCGCTTGCAAAGGGAATGTGGCCAGTGACGTCAAGACAGGGCAAATAGACCATCGAACGGTCTGTGGGAACCAGTTTTCTGTGAGGGACGGCGTTGTGAAGGAGAAAGCGTATGTTTACATTTGCCCCGCTTGCAAAGGGAATGTTGCCAGTGATGTCAAGACAGGGAAAATAGACCATCGAACGGTCTGTGGGAACCAATTTTCAGTCAAGGACGGCGTTGTGAAAGAGAAAGGTGGTAAACGACAAGCTGGAACGCCGAGAAGAAGCTATTGATCTGGCTTTGGGGTATCGTTTGAATTGTGTAAATGCTGGCAAACGGCAGCCTTGGACGCGTAAGAGAATGGATTTGGCCTTTGGGGGCCGTCACATTACTTCATAATTAAACTACAGTACCGTGCCATACGCGCGTGTGACTGCTCAAGTAAAACATGTTTGGAGGGTTTTGGAATGTAAGGGCTGGCAAACGGCAGGCTTGGACGCCCATAAGCAGCTATTGATGTGTGGCCTTGGGGTGCCTGTTGGCATGCCAAGGGATTGTTTAAGCGGCCCATAAGAAGCCATTGATGTGTGGCCTCGGGGTGGCGGTTGGCTGCAGGATGAAGCATGCCAAGTCAGCGTTTTGCAGGCTTGGAGGCCCATAAGAAGCCATTGATGTGTGGCCCTGGGGTGCCTCTTGGCTGTAGGGTGAATCATGCCAAGGGATTGTTTAAGCGGCCCATAAGAGGCCATTGATGTGTGGCCTCGGGGTGGCTGTTGGCTGCAGGATGAGGCATACCAAGTCAGCGTTTTAAGGATTTTAAGGTTTGTAAGGGTTTGAAGCGTTTGGAGGGTTTTAAGGGTTTGGAAAGTTTTAAGGGTTTAAGGGCTGGCAAAAGGCAGGCTTGGACGCCCATCAGAAGCTATTGATGTGTGGCCTTGGGGTGCCTGTTGGCTGCAGGATGAAGCATGCCAAGGGATTGTTGAAGCTGCCCATAAGAAGCCATTGATGCGTGGCCTCGAGGTGGCTGTTGGCTGCAGGATAAAGCATGCCAAGTCAGCGTTTTAAGGGTTTGAAGGTTTTTAAGGGTTTGAAGCGTTTGGAGGTTTTAAGGGTTTTAAGGGTTTAAGGGCTGGCAAACGGCAGGCTTGGACGCCCATAAGAAGCCATTGATGTGTGGCCTTGGGGTGCCTGTTGGCTGCAAGATGAAGCATGCCAAGGCGTTGTTTCAGCGGCCCATAAGAAGCCATTGATGTGTGGCCTCGGGGTGGCTGTTGGCTGCAGGATGAAGCATGCCAAGTCAGCGTTTCAAGGTTTGTAAGCGTTTGGAGGGTTTTAAGGGTTTGGAGGGTTTTAAGGGTTTGGAGGGTTTTAAGCGTTTAAGGGCTGGCAAACGGCAGACTTGGACGCCCATAAGAAGCCATTGATGTGTGGCGTTGGGGTGCCTGTTGGCTGCAGGATGAAGAAGGGTTTGGAGGGTTTTAAGGGTTTGGAGGGTTTTAAGGGTTTAAGGGCTGGCAAACGGCAGACTTGGACGCCCATAAGAAGCCATTGATGTGTGGCCTTGGGGTGCCTGTTGGCTGCAGGATGAAGAAGGGTTTGGAGGGTTTTAAGGGTTTGGAGGGTTTTAAGGGTTTAAGGGCTGGCAAACGGCAGACTTGGACGCCCATAAGAAGCCATTGATGTGTGGCCTTGGGGTGCCTGTTGGCTGCAAGAGTGGCCATAAGAAGCCATTGATGTGTGGCCTCGGGGTGGCTGTTGGCTGCAGGATGAAGCATGCCAAGTCAGCGTTTTAAGGGTTTTAAGGTTTTGAAGGGTTTGGAGGGTTTTAAGGGTTTGGAGGGTTTTAAGGGTTTGGAGGGTTTTAAGGGTTTAAGGGCTGGCAAACGGCAGACTTGGACGCCCATAAGAAGCCATTGATGTGTGGTGTGGCCTCGGGGTGGCCATAAGAAGCCATTGATGTGTGGCCTCGGGGTGGCTGTTGGCTGCAGGATGAAGCATGCCAAGTCAGCGTTTGAAGGGTTTTCAGATTTTTAAGGGTTTGGAGGGTTTTAAGGGTTTGGAGGGTTTTAAGGGTTTGGAGGGTTTTAAGCGTTTAAGGGCTGGCAAACGGCAGACTTGGACGCCCATAAGAAGCCATTGATGTGTGGCCTTGGGGGGCTGCAAGAGTGGCCATAAGAAGCCATTGATGTGTGGCCTCGGGGTGGCTGTTGGCTGCAGGATGAAGCATGCCAAGTCAACGTTTTAAGGGTTTTAAGGTTTTTAAGGGTTTGGAGGGTTTTAAGGGTTTGGAGGGTTGGTGGCCATAAGAAGCCATTGATGTGTGGCCTCGGGGTGGCTGTTGGCTGCAGGATGAAGCATGCCAAGTCAGCGTTTGAAGGGTTTTAAGGTTTTTAAGGGTTTGGATGGTTTTAAGGGTTTGGAGGGTTTTAAGCGTTTAAGGGCTGGCAAACGGCAGACTTGGACGCCCATAAAGAAGCCATTGATGTGTGGCCTTGGGGGGCTGCAAGAGTTGCCATAAGAAGCCATTGATGTGTGGCCTCGGGGTGGCTGTTGGCTGCAGGATGAAGCATGCCAAGTCAGCGCTTGAAGCGTTTTAGATTTTTAAGGGTTGGAGGGTTTTAAGAGTTTGGAGGGTTTTAAGGGTTTGGAGGGTTTTAAGCGTTTAAGGGCTGGCAGACGCCAGACTTGGACGCCCATAAGAAGCCATTGATGTGTGGCCTTGGGGGGCTGCAAGAGTGGCCATAAGAAGCCATTGATGTGTGGCCTCGGGGTGGCTGTTGGCTGCAGGATGTGCCAAGTCAACGTTTTAAGGGTTTTAAGGTTTCTAAGGGTTTGGAGGGTTTTAAGGGTTTGGAGGGTTGGTGGCCATAAGAAGCCATTGATGTGTGGCCTCGGGGTGGCTGTTGGCTGCAGGATGAAGCATGCCAAGTCAGCGTTTGAAGGGTTTTAAGGTTTTTAAGGGTTTGGAGGGTTTTAAGGGTTTGGAGGGTTTTAAGGGTTGAAGGGCTGGCAAACGGCAGACTTGGACGCCCATAAGAAGCCATTGATGTGTGGCCTTGGGGTGCTTGTTGGCTGCAGGATGAAGAAGGGTTTGGAGGGTTTTAAGGGTTTGGAGGGTTTTAAGGGTTTAAGGGCTGGCAAACGGCAGACTTGGACGCCCATAAGAAGCCATTGATGTGTGGCCTTGGGGTGCCTGTTGGCTGCAAGAGTGGCCATAAGAAGCCATTGATGTGTGGCCTCGGGGTGGCTGTTGGCTGCAGGATGAAGCATGCCAAGTCAGCGTTTTAAGGGTTGTAAGGTTTTTAAGGTTTGGAGGGTTTTAAGGGTTTTTAAGGGTTTGGAGGGTTTTAAGGGTTTGGAGGGTTTTAAGCATTTAAGGGCTGGCAAACGGCAGACTTGGACGCCCATAAGAAGCCATTGATGTGTGGTGTGGCCTCGGGGTGCTGCAAGAGTGGCCATAAGAAGCCATTGATGTGTGGCCTCGGGGTGGCTATTGGCTGCAGGATGAAGCATGCCAAGTCAACGTTTGAAGGGTTTTAAGGTTTGTAAGGGTTTTAAGGGTTTGGAGGGTTGGTGGCCATAAGAAGCCATTGATGTGTGGCCTCGGGGTGGCTGTTGGCTGCAGGATGAAGCATGCCAAGTCAGCGTTTGAAGGGTTTTAACGTTTTGAAGGGTTTGGAGGGTTTTAAGGGTTTGGAGGGTTTTAAGGGTTTGGGGGGTTTTAAGCGTTTAAGGGCTGGCAAACGGCAGACTTGGACGCCCATAAGAAGCCATTGATGTGTGGCCTTGTGGGGCTGCAAGAGTGGCCATAAGAAGCCATTGATGTGTGGCCTCGGGGTGGCTGTTGGCTGCAGGATGAAGCATGCCAAGTCAACGTTTTAAGGGTTTTAGGGTTTTTAAGGGTTTGGAGGGTTTTAAGGGTTTGGAGGGTTTTAAGGGTTGAAGGGCTGGCAAACGGCAGACTTGGACGCCCATAAGAAGCCATTGATGTGTGGCCTTGGGCTGGTTGTTGGCTGCAGGATGAAGCATGCCAAGTCAGCGTTGTAAGGGTCTAAGGTGTTAAGGTTTTTAAGGGTTTGAAGCGTTTGGAGGGTTTTAAGGGTTTGGAGGGTTTTAAGGGTTTAAGGGCTGGCAAACGGCAGGCTTGGACGCCCATAAGAAGCCATTGATGTGTGGCCTTGGGGTGCCTGTTGGCTGCAGGATGAAGCATGCCAAGGGATTGTTTCAGCGGCCCATAAGAAATTGATGTGTGGCCTTGGAAAGCGAAGAAGGAGCCTTGAAAGACAAAACCTTCAGACAAAACCTGCCGGAGGAAAACTTACTTGGCCAAAGCATGTAATTTTCATGTCCAAATGCCTAGAAGTCGTAACGGGAGGACGAAGCATGCCAGGAAAATGTTTACGTGATGTGGCCTTGCGCCGGCTGGCTGGCTGCGAGATGGGTTTGACCGTGGAAAGCGAAGAAGGAGCCTTGAAAGACAAAACCTGCAGACAAAACCTTCCGGAGGAAAACGTACTTGCCCAAAGCATGTAATTTTCATGTCCAAATGCCTGGAAGTCTTAACTGGAGGACGAAGCATGCCAGGAAAATGTTTACGCGATATGGCCTTGGGGCAGCTTGATGGCTGCGAGATGGGTTTGACCTTGGAAAGCGAAGAAGGAGAAGTTCCACACCTGTGGTGGTCCCAGGCGCCGCCCCTGCCTTGGCCAAGGCCGGGGTCGGCGGATAAGAAAGACCAGATCCAATGTAAATAAAGAACAAAAACAAGAGCAGGAATGTTAGCCCAAAGTGCTGCAAGTACAAGTAAGATACTTCAGCACCAAAATGCTGCAAGTACCGTTCAGATAAGAGATTTAGCATTCAAGCAACAGTGAAGAAAAACACCACCCCTATGACAACCCTAATTAAGCCAACCCTGAATAAACCCTCAACCCTTAATGGACCCTAAGACCATCCTAAATAAACACCAATCCAACCGTAAATAAACACTACTAAACCAACCATCCCCACCTTAAATAAAGCCTAAACCAACCCTAAGTAAAGCCGAAACCAACCCTGAATCATTTCGACTCCAACCCGACATAAACCCGAAATAACCACCAAACGAACCCTAAATAAAGCCTAGACCAAATCGCCTTAAACACGCCCTTAACCAACCCAAACCAACCCTAAAAAAGACATTGTTCAACCTTAAAACTTAAAATACACCCTAAAGAAATATATATAAAGAAATCCTAAAGCAATCCAGAATGGAACTTTGGGTGAGCGTGTGCGAGTGCGGGGTTGTTACACAGGAGAGAACCCTGTAAATACTCCGCAAGTAGAGATTCAATTACTGATATCCTGCCGCTATTGTGCTAGCAACAATGGAAAAAGTAAAGGCAACTAATAACAACAAGAACAGGTTCACTTTTCAACATGCAGCAAATACCATGCAAATTGCAGATTGTTGCGCTAGAATGCTGCAAATACCATGCAAATAAGAGATTTAAGTCTACAGTTCATAATATACACATAGTCATAGTATTGTGCAAATGCTGGCTCCAAGATGCTGCGAAAACTCTGCCAACAAGAAATCCAAGCTCCAAAATGCTGCAAATACCATGCAAATGAGAAATTTGGGCTCCAAAATGCAGCAAATGACATAAGTAGTTTAGCTCCAAAATGTGCGGCGATGACGTTTAAATATATGAAGGGTAGGATTATGAGGTCCGATGCGAAGGTAGTGTAAATATATCTATAGCATATATATATACTTCCGGTTGTTTAAATGTTGGCTGGGTCCGCCAGGAACCCCACGGAGGTAGTCTAACTTGTTTGTTATTTTATCCATTTAAAAATCCACGTGTTTAAATGTGGCGCCGTGGCAAAATAGCAAGGCAAACTGCCCCCATCTGAGAACAAAAACACAAAACATACACCCAATTGCTGTAGCTATTTGGACCCTTTGGACCCCATCAACAGATGTGAAACATGTTGAAGCTGCATTTATACGTTGGCTTTTTACCACATCTTCAGCTCACGACTCCTGCAGGCAATGTCACGCCACCCAGCGAGGTGCACCGCAGCTACAGCTTGGAACAAGTTGTCTAGCCAATAGTCAATATTACATTGCTGAGAAAGGGGCATTAATAAGTTATTCTCATGGCAAGCATCTATAAACATGTATAAACATGTTGTCGCACAACAAGTCATCACCTACATGAGATGGTTGAAAAGGCAGCCTCCCGGGCTCGGCAACTCTCAGCGCCCTTCAGCGGCATTTAAATTGATGGTGTACCCGGGTGTCCAATGGTGCCCACGGTATGGTATCCATATGTATCCTTATAGTCCACATAACATGAACTATCCATGTTTTTTTCCTTGTCATGTGATTCTCCATGTTTCATCCTAACTAGTATTCTCCATATTGATTATGTATGGTTGTGCATATCTATATATATATACTATTATATACATGTGTATCTATACTAATATTACTAATACGATGCAATTTATGTTGCTACAATTGTATTATATCCGCATACATGTACATTTTATATGTGTACACGGCAAATGCCTGGTGTTTGCTCGGTTGCGCAACGACGGTGGCGGAAGCCTCAAAATCATCATCATCCTCCTCTCCTCGTCCTCGTCCTCGTCGTCGTCGTCGTCGTCGTCGTCATATTCCATTCAATATAAATCAATATAATATTGTTCAGAGGGGTGGCGGAATTGATCCTGAGTTGTGAAGACAAAGTCAAGTTAGTATCTCAATCAATTTACTGTTCAGACAGGCTGATCAATTATGAAGATAAGTTGAAGGTAATATCCCATTCAATATATTGTTCAGAGGGGGTGGGGGTGGGGGACTTATCCCTCATGAGAATGAGCTGTTGAGTTGGGGTGGAACAGAAGGTGGGCATTGCACATACACTTCTATATGATATACATACTAACTCTAACTCATATATTTGTATGCATACGAGCAATATCATTAGTATTTGTATGTGTTATCCACAGCAGTAAATCCTGTTTCAGAACGAATGCCAAGGCCAGTGATTCCAGCTGCGTCTCATGGTAATGATGCAGCAGCCAACAAGCTTAGAGCCAGGCTTTCGCCACGGCCTGAGACACCTGGTTCGAATCAGTGCATCTGTGGTGGATGGTATTTTTGCAGTGAATCAGGTACATGGAAACATCATAAGCTACTGGAAAATACATGAAAATACTGGAAATATCGTCAACTAATATATAAAATATGATCAGAGAATCAGTGGAGTTAATCAGCTGAAACTGTCCAACATTCAGAATTTCGAATTTTGCACAGTGCCAGGCCTCCAAGATGGCAAGGCGCATGGAGCTTGGACGTTGGCATTGCTGGTGACCCTGGTGTGAATCAAATTGAAACTAAAGACTGTAGCGACACTGTTGTTCCATGGGTTTTTGAGCGGTTCTTCCTCTTTCAATGGCTACCGCTAACTCTTATCTTTACAATATATATATATATATATTTACAGTGTTATATACTTATATATATATGTATATATATATGTATATATATATATGTATATATATACACAAATCCCCATATGTTATGTTGTCCTCAGTTAGTTGTCCTCAGTTACAAGCAGCGTTCACCAGCTGCAGACCACTTCTAAGGCACGCGCAGCTTCTCCCCCCGAAGCGGCCACGTTCTCTCCAAGCAACTCACAGGTGATCATCCCACAGAAAATCAGCGTTGAACTAATCACCAAAAGCTCCCATAATCTCCCATATTAATATCAAGTAATTAGTATTTTTCAATGATCGCAAAATATATATGATTATACAGTACATATATATATATATAAATATATGTATATTTTTATCAGTTTCCAGCAAGCTCAGCATTTTGGCCAGCCCCAGGATGTCCCCAGCACGCTGTAAACCGGAATGTGAAAGTACCTAGTGACCTTGTGCATGTTGCATGCATCGAAGTTGTGATGTCAACATCCATGCTGGAGATGCACTCTGCAGAGGCTCCTGGAACCCCG